ATGTGCTCTATAACTGAGCTCAGACACATTCGTTGATGTTCCTCTGTCAGTATATGAGGTCAAACATGTTTGTGATGTGCTGAAGTGATCATGCAGGATCCTCCGACTGGAAACACACAAAGCTTCCAGATTAAACTGCCTCAACCATCTGAAACTGCAGGACACAGAGCATCCAAATCCATTTACAGGCCAAATCCAGCCGCAGACATCATCCTGCTGAAGTGTAGAGCGCGCAGAGGAACAGGTGTGTGTGTGTGTGTGTGTGTGTTTGTCCAGATGTGCACAGATCTCTCCTGCTGGGATTTGTGATGTTCTGGTGAATCTGGTTAGTTCAGACCTGCTGCTGTGACCTTCTGAGCGGCGGAGGGTATCACACACACACACACACACACACACACACACACACACACACACACCCAGAGCAGTGATGGAAACACAGCGCGCTGTAAGTGCCAGAGAGTCATCTTACACCAAACACTTATTGCGTTTAGTATTGAGCATGATGTGATGAAAAATTCATAGCGGGATTGTGCTGTTTGCATTGTCCTGACTGTGTGTGTGTGTGTGTGTGTGTGTGTGTGTGTGTGTGTGCCTTTCTGTGTATGTTTGTGTCTCTGTGTGTGTATGAGTGAGTGAGAAAGTAACTTTGTAAGTGTGTGTGAGATCAACTAGTCAGTTAATTAATGTGTGCATTTGTGTATGTGTGTCTGTGTTTGTTTGAGTGTGTGAGTGTATTTATTTGTGTGTGTGTGTGTGTTTGCATGTGTGTGTATTTGAGTGGTTGCCTGTGCTTAGTGTGTTTGTGTCATGTTTGCATGTGTGTGTGTGTGCGTGCGTGCGTGCGTGCGTGCGTGCGTGTGTGTGTGTTTGTGTGTGTGCGTGCGTGTGTGTGTGTGTGATCAATGCAGCTCAGCTCAGTGTATTGGGAATCGTTATGGAGCAGAACTCATGCCGATTCTCTCTGCTGCTTAAACATATTGACTCCACTATTGGCAAAGCAATAGTATTAAAATACAGCCAGAAGAGCAGCAACACTACAGCAGAGAGGCCAGCGCTGACCACAACTACACAACACAACACAACACTACACTACACAACACAACACAACACAACACAACACTACACAACACTACACAACACAACACAACACAACACTACACAACACTACACAACACTACACAACACAACACAACACAACACTACACAACACTACACAACACTACACAACACTACACAACACTACACAACACAACACAACACTACACAACACAGCACAACACAACACAACACAACACAGCACAACACAACACTACACAACACTACACCGTGTTCATGACCAATGGAGCTGCACATCCTGCGCTTCCACACACACCACTCCGCTATAGTCTACATGCTCTATCTGTGTGTGTTTAACTGGGGGAGTTGGTGGGCATCCACTGGACATGATGCTGGTGTATACTCACCTGATATCTCAGCTTCAGATGTGTCTTTGGCATAATGACGTATCTGAAGTGTGTGAGGAGAAACTGGCTTGATTCCAGGCGTCAGACATTAAAAGGGGCAGTTCACTCAAAAACGAATGCTGTGGTGATTCTACAGTTGCTATGGTAACACAACCATAATAGTTGATCAGTTGTGGTGATTCTACAGTTGCTATGGTAACACAACCATAATAGTTGATCTGCTGTGGTGATTCTACAGTTGCTATGGTAACACAACCATAATAGTTGATCTGTTGTGGTGATTCTACAGTTTCTATGGTAACACAACCATAATAGTTGATCAGTTGTGGTGATTCTACAGTTGCTATGGTAACACAACCATAATAGTTGATCAGTTGTGGTGATTCTACAGTTGCTATGGTAACACAACCATAAATAGTTGATCAGTTGTGGTGATTCTACAGTTTCTATGGTAACACAACCATAATAGTTGATCAGTTGTGGTGATTCTACAGTCGCTATGGTAACACAACTAAAATAGTTGATCAGTTGTGGTGA